GTAGGACATTTACAGAGGATCAGATTTTGAGCAAAGAATATTATAGAATCTCTTGTTAATGCCACTGGAATGATGTAAATGAATGGATAGTTTTTTTTTTCCTACCTGAAAAATTCATAGCCTTCTCAAAACCTGAAAACAACTATTAGTCATTAATCAAAATTATTCAAGCAAAAGGGTGAAAGAAAAAAAGATGAAGTTTCCACTATTAGCATAATTTATGTACATAAAAAATTAAATCCCTTTTCCAAAAATGTCAAAAATTTTTACCTAAGTCCTAGAAAAGGTTTCTATGAAGAAAAATTTATCATTATAGAAAACATTATAGGGATCCCTGGGTGGCGCAGTGGTTTGGCGCCTGCCTTTGGCCCAGGGCGTGATCCTGGAGATCCGGGATCGAATCCCACGTCGGGCTTCCCGTGCATGGAGCCTGCTTCTCCCTCTGCCTGTGTCTCTGCCTCTCTCTCTGTGTGTGTGACTATCATAAATAAATAAAAATTAAAAAAAAAAAAAAAGAAAACATTATAGAGGCTAGAATCAGAAATGAAATTCTCATATAACCCAAAGTTGGGAGGGGAAAGGGGGAGACAAAAGAGATAAAGAGGAACAGAGAAGAGAAAGAAAAATGTTTCCAGCCAGAGCCATTATAAAGGAGGAAAAGTGATTTAAACCTTTTAAATGTTCTTAAACCTTTATGGTATATCTAGAAAAGACAAGAGGTTCACATTTACTTTTATTTTCAAATATTTTCTTAGGCAATCAGCAAAAGCTGTTCCTTATGGTTATCGTTTGCTATATAAAGTTTTCCGTGGAGACTAAATACTTGACTAAACTCTTCACTTAATCCTCAAAACTCCCCTAATGAGTTATATACTAAGAACTCCTTTCCACAGATAAGGAAGCTGAGGCCCAGAGAAGTTAGAACATTTGCCTAGAGTCACACAGCTCTGGGGCAGGACCAATATTCAAATCCAGGTTTATCTCATTCTAGAACGAAAGCTCTAACCATTATACCCCCTGAACTGACTCGGCCAATCATCTTCTTCAGATGACATATCATCTCGCCCACTTAAAACCACTCCACAGAACTTTTTCCACTCCTGTAAGGCCTACGTGACCCATTATTTACATCTGTTCAAAAGAGAAATGTGAAGGAAACTGGCTAAAATGTATGAACACCATCAACACACAGCTCTGTGCTGAATTGAATACATGAAGTCTCCCAAAATAAAACCCCTAAGACATTTACAACTTTAGAATATCTACTCTACTGGAACATGGAACTGTTCTGGTGAAATCCATAGTAGCAACATTTCCCAAGGTGTGCAAAAGGATGATTACTGCTACTATGTGGACTCAAAGTAGTTTGGGAAAAAACTTAAGCCAATGTAAATAAGTTTCATTCCTATAATACATTTTAGTATATACCATGCAAATATTAAACGTAAACTTTTAAAATACAATGAGCAGTTTTCTCGCTTGATTAAAAAAAAATTTTCACGGAATATTTGCCTCTTGGGACTTGTATTTTGCAGGCTACATTTTGGAAAACACGTTACAGCCTTCAAAAACATTGTGGGAGGGATGCACGGGTGGCTCAGAGGTTGAGCATCTGCCTTCGGCTCAGGGCATGACCCTGGGGTCCCTGAATTGAGTCCCATAACGGGCTCCCTGCATGGAGCCTGCTTCACCCTCTGCCTGTGTCTCTACCTCTCTCTGTGTCTCTCATGAATGAATAAATAAAATCTTTTTAAAAAATGGCCAATGATTCCCTATTAACTTTAAAGACATCCAAGTTACTTGGCATGGCCTTCAAGTCTCCCCACCCCCGATCCCAGGTACATAAGGCCCACCACTGCTCAGCACTCCTTATAATAGATACTCAGAAAGCCCTGAATGTAACCTCCATTCTCCTGTTTCACCATTCTTGCCACTTAGAACAAGCATATTGTGCAACAGAAAACAGATTTTAGAGTCTCAAACATTAGAGACTAAATAGTTGAGACTTTACAGACCCAAACATTAGTTTAGCCACTCAATACTGTACATCCAGTTATTCAAGGCAAGTTATTCTCAGAGCCTCAGAGTCTGCATTGTAAAACGGAGACAACAGAATCACCACAGCGTTACTATATGAACTTTCACTTACTCCCATCTCTATGTGTTGAAACCATAATTGTTCTTCAAAGCCCAGATGAAATGACTTTCCTCCAGTAAGCTTTCATTGGTTATAAAGTCAACATCAACCTATTCCACCTTTGTTCACACCTCTAATTTATTTGGCCTTTTTATCCCACTTTGTTAGTAAATATTTCTGTCTCTTTTTATTAGACTATTAATTTCTTGAGGTCAGGAATGGTCTTTTTCATAACAGTATCTCAAAGTACTGAGTTCTTTCATACAAAGGCAAGCAATAATGTACATCTGCTCAAGAAGCACAGACTATAAATTGGTTGACATGGATTCTAGATCATCTAAATAGAATAGGACCTGATTGCTGTCATGAAAATGAAATGTGTTGCATCATTTCATGCAGTCCAACCGGTATACCTTCATAGAGAAAAGAACTACTTTCAGAAAGAAAACCACAGTTTTCTCCATATCCAGGTCAAAATTATATGGAAGAAATGAGCTTCTGCACATAAACTGCTGTGTAAGAGTTTAAAATAGAACATTATGAAAAAATAAAATAAAATAAAATAGAACATTATGGAGGAAGAAAGAAAAAATCTTTGAATAGTTTTGCAAAAATACATCCACATCAGCCAATGGATGCAAATGAGACCTCATTAATAGGTTCCCCTAGTTTGCATTAGGTTGATAAACCCTACCTGCAGAAATGCAGAACTTTGCCCTCCTTTCCAGGTTCAGGTCTCCAACTAGAATCTTTGAAGAGTTACTAGGAATGTCATACTATTATCACAAATCAATCCTGTACACCTCTTATAACTCTGCCAACAGTTCTGCTATAATGGCATGTTTCCATTCCTTCATAATGAAATAATAAGGGCTCTTGTTCTACTGGCTTTCTTAGAGGGTCACAGAAGGCCTGCTTGGGATACAGCCTATCTCTGAAGCACATCTAAAAGCCAACACTGGGAGCGAAAACCATTCAGCCCTCAGACAGTGATGAAAGTTCAGTTTACCTTCCTTCCCTCAATGTGGTTTATGCCTTAAGTCGTGTCTTTCTGTTCTTCCTGTGGACATATGTGTAAATATGAATCAGCAACACTGTTTTAATTTTAACTCCTCAGCTCCCGTGTATATGGCTGACTAAAATAATTAAGGGTAGGAGGGGATACTCCAGTCTTCATTTGCCCATCTCTACTTAGGCTTAACTGAGACACATTCTGCAATAATTACTTAATGCCCACTCTGCCTTGGGCTGTATTGTGCAATAGCAAAGTCTGTGGAGCCAGACTGCATTCAAATGCCACCTTCTATTTACCAGCATATTACATAGTCTCTCTGTCCCTCAATTTCTGGCCCATTAAATAGGGATAAGGCCATAATCCCTTAACCAAAATCCCTTGGGTCCAGATGTGTTTTGAAATGCAGAAAATTTTCTAGATTTTAGAAAGGTAACACAATACATATGAGTACTATAAAAAACATCCCAAGTGGAATCTGATCAGTACATTGCAATAAAATGCTTTAACACTTCTGCACCAAACTATGAATATTTGTACTTGTTAGGTTAAAGAAAAATGAGCTTCAAGTACATTCAGGTCAGATTTTTTTTAAAAGATTTTATTCATTTATTCATGAGAGATACAGAGAAAGAGGGAGAGACACAGGCAGAGGGAGAAGCAGGCTCCATGCAGGGAGCCCGATATGGGACTAGATCCCAGGACTCTAGGATCATCACCTGAGCTAAAGGCAGACACTCAACCACTGAGCCACCCAAGTGTCCCTCAGGTCAGAGTTTTGTCACAAAATGCACTTATCACAAACTAATCACAAACATGGTTTTTGAGGTTTCAGAATTACAGATAAAAGATCTGTAGTATTACTCTGTAGGACCATAAGAAGAATCAACTGAGCTAATATGTATCAAGTAGTTGCAAGAGCACCTGGCATACAGGAAGTGCTATATCAGAGTGACTTATTTTTATGTGCAAGGTACTTGTCAGGCTATACAAGAGTATTTTAATCCATTTGGGCTGCTCTAACAAAAATATCACAGACCAGGTGGCTTATACAACACTTCTCACAACTCTAGAGTCCAAGATCAAGGCACAGGCAAATTCAGTGTCTCGTTAAGTCCCTTTTCCTGGTTCACAGAAGGCTGTCTTCTTGCTGTGTCCTCCCTCACAAGGCAAAAGAGATAAGAAAGCTCTCTGCAGTATCTCTCATAGGGACACTGATCCCATTCATAAGAATAGCACCTTCCTGACCTAATCATCCCTTAAAGGCCCCACCTCCAAACAGCATCACACTGGGGATTAGACTTCAATATATGAATTTTGGGATGATATAGAGATTCAGTCCATAGCACAGAGATACAAAAATGAATAAAAATTATTTCTTCCTTGCAAAATGGTAAACTAAAGACATCTAAGCTCTGAAAGAGTACTAAGGGCATCTAAGCTTTGGAAGCGTACTATTAGAGGTACAAACAGCAGCTAGCAAGTATAAAATGATTATATGCTAAGCACTGGTGCTACATTTTTGAATTATTTATTATTAATAAGCACTCTGAGATAGATGCTATTATCCCCCATTTTGCAATGTCTAAAAGGAAGCTGAGAGAGATGATGTAATCTACCCAAGATTAAGTAGTAGATTCACTACTGAAACCCAAGCATTCTGACTTAAAGGTCCATGCTCTAACTCATAACCTTAAACCATCTCCTACAAGTTGTGTCACTCTAAGATGGGGAACCGTGTTGCATGAAGGTCCCACAAAATCTGCCAGTATTCCTCTATTTCCTTAATAATGATGCTTTACATTACACGTCACAACCTAATAATGCCAACAAAACAAAATCCAAACTTACCAAATGTTGCAGTATGACATTAGTCCTTCTGAATGAATTAAACCTGAAACAGACGTAGAATACAATGAACACAGGAATGTGGGCAGTTAGGTCTCAATGTATAAATATCAAATTTCTTTCCTTTTATTTTAGCCTCTTCTTAAAGGTATTAGAAAAGAAGAGGTTTTCTTAAAGGTTTAATTCTCATTCATTGTGGTAAGAACACGAAATAGTACAGCCACTTTGAAAGACAATTTGACAGTTTCTTACGAAACTAAACATATTTTACCATATAATCCAGCAACTGCACTCCCTGGTATTTACCCAAGTGAATTGAAAATTTATGTACACAGAAAGCCGTGCACATGAATTTTTATGGAACTTTATTTATAATAGGCCAAAAGTGGAAGTAATCAGAGGTCCTCCAACAGGTGAGTGAACAAACTGGTGGTGTGCCCACATACTGGGATACCGCTCAGCAACAAAAAGAAAGCATCTATCATTCCACAAAAAGACATACAGAAATCTTAAATGCTGAGCAAAAGATGCCAATCTGAAAATTACATAAATGGTATGATTCCAACTACAGGACATTTTGAAAATGGCAAAACTGTGGAGACAAGACAGTAAAATGATGAGTGGTACCAGGGGCTTGGAAGTGGGAGAGAAGCACCGGCAGGACACGTGGGACGTTTAAAGTAGTGAAACTAGTCTGTGTGACTGTAACGGTAGAGACACGTCACACATTTGCCAATTTTCTGCTCAATATTTTGGTAAACCTAAAACTGCTCTAAAAAATAAAGTCTATTAATTTAAAAAAATGTGGGTAAAAATGAACAAGCATCCTCAGATAGTGCTGTGAAATATATAATTAGGACTGCCTTTCCAGCAGGCAATCTGTAAGTATACAGTTCCACAACCTTTAAAATGACCTTTCACCCAGTAATTTCAAAAGCATTTGTATAAGGATGTCACAGAGATTTGATCAAAGTTTGATTCATAAAAATGTTCATGACTATTTACATAAGGGAAAAACTGGAAATGAAGTAAATAATCTAATTGTGCACGTGCACATATTTAGTTTTCCTATAAGAAAACTACTTTGTACACTTTTAAAACTTTAAAACTGACAATCATCTTTCCTTTCCAGTAAAAATAAAAATAAACAAAAATGACAATAGAGAACGTCAATTCCAAATAAGGTCCTACAGGTTCTTCTAATTTTCCCATCAAGTGGCAGACCTCAGGTCATCATGGGAGAGAATTTTATTTTAAAAGCATTATCTTCAACTGCAAAGATGTCCATTAAACATCACAGGCATACCAAAGGAGAAGCCACGCTGTCAAAATGCCCACTTAACTCACCCAAACGTCTCAAACCCACCCTTTGCTGACCTTCTATAACCCTATTTTAAGTTTTTTTTCCTTTAAACGAGAAAATAGATATGTGTTGGGAGATGCTAACTTTCCATACAGAGACAGTGTATTTTCTAAGCCCAATATACAGAAAACAGAGGAAAAAAGCTAAAATTCTATGGACTACACTGGGGCCCAGCACCCTCCAGCTTCCAGCAGTGCTAGGGAGCTCAGGGTTTTTCTTTCCTCCCCCCACAGAACATGGCCGTGTTGATTCCATAAAGTTATAACAGGAAAGGATAAAAATGAATTTGGAACAAAAAGCGTTGGAGATTCTTTCCCCCACCATATTTTTCTCAAGTAGTTCCCTCCCAAATAAATCGACAACCATGGTATAAAGGAGAAGGGACCTCAAAAAACAGGGCAACTGAACCCGGGAAGACTGCAATTTGCCCCCAGGAGCTTGAGAAAAACCTAAGTACAACGAAGTTTCTTACCAGACTTTATATAATCATGTTAATTTTCTTTGTTCCAATTTCTACTCAACCATTATTTAAAATCTGCTGTTAACTTTTACATCTCAAAAATGTATTGTAGTATTCAGAGTCCCCAAATAATTCTGAATTGAAGGTCTCTCTCCTTCCTGTTGGCTCCAGAACTGCCACCTGGTGGAGGGGAAGAGGACACGCACATTCCAGCTATTGCTCATTTACTAAATCACTTTACCAGACTTCCTTCCTTCAGATGATGGTCAATTTATCTGCTTGGGACACCTGTTCTCAAAGTGTGGGTCCTGGACCAGCACCATCCACATCCCAGGGGCACGTGTTAGAAATGCAAGCTCCTGGCCCCGCCCCAGACCTACTGAACTAGGAACTGTGGAGTGAGCCCAGAAACCTGTGCTTAGCAAATCCTCCAGGCGATCCGGATACATGCTCAAGTTAAAAACAACGGTCTTAGAAGAGAACATTAGCATTTAGGAGTTATCCAATCCATCACACACGAGTTGACAAAACTAAATGACTTTTCATGGAACTGTCTGAAATAATGAAAATAGTGCTTAATGAAGATTACAGCAGAAGTAGGCAACGAAGAAGGTGAATAGAGCAGAAAATCAAGCCCAAGGTCAAGTAGTTCAGGCATGAACTGGTGAACAGCAGGTATAGAATCAAAGGAATGACTTATCAGGAGATATTATGAAGTTAAAACTCAATGGAAAAGAAAAGAACTTTGTCAACGACTCCAAGAGTTCAGGCTAGGATAGCTACGAGAATACAGGCAAGGAAAGGCTCCCGGCAAGGAAACTAGTTGGTTTGTACGACGCGATGGGAAGTCCATTTTCAGTTTCTTGAGCCTGTATCGGCATTAGTGGAGACGTTCAGCAGCAAGGAGAGAGGTTGGGGTCTGAAAGAAAAGTTAAAACTGAAGATATGGTACAAAGCCACATGCGAGACAATCACGGAGGCCTGAGACCCTCCTAGCCGTCCTCGAGGAACGAAGAAGCTGCACTAGAAAACCAGCGACCTGAGAGCTGCTGGATCTACCCATGTGTGCTGTCTGGCTGGCACTGGTTTAAAACTAGACATTTAAGGGCAACCTGGGGGGCTCGGCGGTTTCGGGCTGCCTTCAGCCCAGGGCGTGATCCTGGAGACCCAGGATCTCTCTCTCTCTCCTGTGTATTCTCATGAATAAATAAATAAAATCTTAAAAAAAATAAAATCAAGAAATTTCACCCAAAAATTCACTTTCCCAAAAAGACGTGTAATCATGGAAACTCGGGGCCTCCATTCTACAACGGCAGCAATGCCTGCCTGGGCTGCAGAGCCAGCTCCTGTGGACCGAGCACAGGCCCCACTGCTGCCATTTGGCCTGCGCTACTCCATGCTTCCTTCTTGGCCTCTGCCTTCTTGGCCTTGGGTCTGTGTTTCCTAACACAGAAAAATTTAACAGAGAAATAGTGAGTCTTTTGAAACAACTATGTAGCAAGAACAGAAACCCTAGGTCAGCCGAGTGTAGAGATGGAGAAGGCCGGGAGTACTACTAACAACTTGAAAGATCAGCCTATTTGAAGAGCCTCCCTGACCCCTCTCTCTTTCCTTCTAAATCTCTCTCCTACTTGAAGTTTCCCTTTAAGACACTTATCAGAGTTTGCAACTAAGTATTACTTGTTTGAATATTTGTTTCTTATCTGCTTTCCTTTGGGACTTCAAGGGCCTTAATAAGAAAACGTATCAAGATGTCCAGGTCAGCTACAGGGTAACAAGAGTGCCTAGAGCTCCCACAAGCTAGAATGTGACACTGAGTATTGTAGGACGCACCCAGCAAATTAGGGCCAAATCTTTGAAACTGGGAGGGGAAATTTTTATTCAATTCCGTAAGTAGGAAGACACCTTTAAGAACTTCTGGGCAGAAGAATGGCAGGCCCGGGAGTGAATTTAGCAAGACTAACCCTGCGGCCGCCTGCAGAAGCCATGCCCATGAGGAAGGAGGCAGCCAATCATATTTCTGCAAAATGAGCAACTGAAATATTTGGGGAGGAATATCCAACCTCTGAAGCAGCAGGAAGAGATACGGACTGGAGAGCATTAAAAATCTAGAAGAATGAGAGTTCCAAGGAGTTGGAAGTGCGGATGAGTACCGGTTACACTTAGGTGCAAATTGACAGGTGATGTGCAAAGAAGACGTCCAGGCGGTTGGGACCACACTAGCGTTTAGGATGAGTCAAGGTGAGGCACGCGCGTTGAAGGGTCATCTCCGGGGAGGTGCTTTACTTGGAAGGCCCCCTCTAAGGTGCCCAAGGGCCGTCAGGGAAGCCAAGGAGGCCGGAGCTCAAGAGGGCCCGTCCGGCCGGGCCAGCCACCACCCAGAGGCCCCCGCCCATCACCCGGAGGCCCCCGCGGCACCCTGCTCCTGAACGCACCTGCAGGTTAGGCTACCGCGGACCGGGTGACGCGGCCCCGGGCCCCTGCCCCGCTGGGGCGAGGGGGCTGCGGGCCCTGGAGAGGACCTCCGGCCAGAGCCCCAGCGAGCCGGGGCCACCCTGGCCAGCCTGCGCCTTGACCGAGGGGCGCAAGGGCGCCCTCCTGGGCTCTGGGGCGGCCATTCCGTTGGCGAACGGGCCTTCCCGAGCGGCGTCTCAGCCAGGGGGCAAGCAGGCCGGTGGCCGCCCGAGGGGTCGCAGCCGCCCCAGCCACGTGCGGCCGCAGCCCGCTTCCCGAGGCCGCGGCGGCCACAGTCCCTTGGCACGGCCCGAGCTGCGCTCCGCACACCGGCAGGGACCCCGCGGCCCCCAGGCGCCCCGCAGGTGCAGCGAGCGCCAGCCCCGGCGCCCGGCCGCGCACACGAGCCCCGAGGTCCCTCCGGGCTGGCCCCGCGCCAGCGGCCGCACGCAGACCCACGGCCCGCTCGGCTCCGCGGCGCCCCGGGTCGCTGCAAGCCTCAAGCCCGCAGGCCCCGCGCGCGACCCCGGCCGCCGCGCAGCCCGCCCGCTCACCCCGCCACGAACCTCCACACCTGCTGCAGCCCCATCGCGGCGACCGGGGCACGAGCCGCCGGGCACGCGAGACAGTCCTCCCGGCGGCCGGAGCGGCCCGCGACCGAGGCCTCCGCGCGGCGGACGCTGAGGGGCGGGGCGAGAACCCGCTGGAGGGCGGGGGCGGGGTGGGCGGGGCCTGAGCGGGGGCGGGGCTGAGAAGGCCGGGGGGCGGGGCTGGCGGGGAGGCCGAGCGGGAGGGGGCGGGGCTGACGGAGGAGGCCGAGGGTGAGGGGGCGGGGCTGACGGGGAGGCCGAGGGTGAGGGGGCGGGGCTGACGGGGGAGGCCGAGAGGGCGGGGCTGACGGACGAGGCCGAGGGTGAGGAGGCGGGGCTGACGGGGGAGGCCGAGGGTGAGGGGGCGGGGCGGACGGGGGAGGCCGAGCGGGAGGGGGCGGGGCTGACGGAGGAGGCCGAGGGTGACGGGGCGGGGCTGACGGAGGAGGCCGAGGGTGACGGGGCGGGGCTGACGGAGTTGGGGGCGGAAGCGGGGGCGGAAGCGGGGGCGGAAGCGGGAGCGGCGCTGACGGAGAAGGGTGAGGGCGGGGCGTTTGGAGTTGGGGGCGGAGCGGGGCGGAAGCGGGGCAGAGCGGGGAGGAAGCGGGGCGGAAGCGGGAGCGGCGCTGACGCAGAAGGCCGAGGGCGGGGCACGTGGAGCTGCGAGCGGAGCGGGCGGAGCGGGGCGGACGGGGCGGGGCCGGCGCGTGGCAGGGCAGAGCCCGCGGCGGGCGGGGAGCGGTTCGGTCCGAGGGGCGCTGGCGGCTCGTGGGCGCAACGTCCGAGTCCCGGTGGGGCGGTGCGGTCGCCCCCGCTGGGCTCCGGCTCGGGGTCCTCCCTCCTGGTTTTCCGTCTCCTCTGCCCTCAAATAAATGAGTAAACCCTTAACGTGGATAGACATGAAAGGCTGCATGAATTTTAAGGGTTTTTTACAGATTTTATTTACTTATTCCTGAGAGCCCCAGGCAGAGGGAGAGGCAGCTCCGTGCAGGGAGCCCGACGCGGGACTCGAACCCAGGACCCCGGGGTCACGCCCTGGGCCGGAGGCAGCTGCTCCACCGCCGAGCCCCCCGGGGCGTCCGAGATTTTAAGACTTTTGATTAAAAATATGAACTTAGTGTTCTCTTCTTTGAGACTCGGATCGGCACTTGGTAGCAGGCCGCTAACGTAGTTCAGTCCTAAGCTCGCTGCAGCAGAAGCTCCTTCCCCCCGGGACTGGAGTATTTCGGGGTTTGGGGAAAGGCTGTGGATTGGCCCCGTCTTCCTCAAGGGCGGACCTTCGCCTCGCGGACAGGCAGTGGCTGCGTCTTTGCGGACGAAGCTGAAGGTCACTGCTCCCACGAGGGCGGGACCCCATGCGGAAGGTGCCCCCAGGGCGACTCGGGGGTGCTGCCCTGTGCCCAGATGCATGCGGAAGTCCTCCTTGAAGGACTGACACATGGGTCACAAAGAAGGAATTTTAAAAAAATTTTAAAAGGGAGGTATTTCAGAGCGAGGCAAGTTCAAGGACTCAGTCTTAGCAACTTAGCGTCTAAGAAGATGCTATTATCAAGCCTTTGGTCGAGACTCACTTTTCTAACTTTGGTCCAATATAAGTACCAAGTGCTCCCCCGAATAGAAGACAAAGGGGCATCACCCGAGGTCACCACTAACTCCTGGCCTGTTTTTAAGCAGCTCTAGCACAGCAACATCTGATACTACCTCTGACCTCGCCGCCCTGCCTGGTGCCCTGGGGCACAAAGAATGGGCCCATTGTTCAGCCCCGTAGGGTTTTACAGTTTATTGGAAAGCATGAGCTTTTCCTGTTCTACAGTCTGAGATCCCACTCGGCCCTATTGCCACAGCCTCCTGAGCCTGCAGCCCATGTCTCACACAAGGCCTCATGCCTACAGGGGCCCTGCTCTTGGTTTCATGCTCTACTTTTAACAATTTTTAAACAAGATGCCCCACATTTTCCTTTTGCTGTAGGCAAGTCTCCTCATTACATAGTCAGTCTTGTCCGTAGCATCCTAATAGCTTGGAGCCTTGGGCGAGTTATGGAACCCAAGATGTTTTTCAAAAGTGTTCATATCATTTAGGACTAAGGAGTCTAGTTGCAGACAACCCACAGGATAGGGAAAAAAATTTTTTACAAATGGTATATTTATTTTTTTTAATTTTTATTTATTTATGATAGTCATACACACACAGAGAGAGGCAGAGACACAGGCAGAGGGAGAAGCAGGCTCCATGCACCGGGAGCCCGACGTGGGATTCGATCCCGGGTCTCCAGGATCATGCTCTGGGCCAAAGGCAGGCGCTAAACCGCTGCACCACCCAGGAATCCCTACAAATGGTATATTTAATAAGGATTTTGTACCTAGGGATCCCTGGGTGGCGCAGCGGTTTAGCGCCTGCCTTTGGCTCAGGGCACAATCCTGGAGACCCGGGATCGAATCCCACGTCGGGCTCCCGGTGCATGGAGCCTGCTTCTCCCTCTGCCTGTGTCTCTGCCTCTCTCTCTCTCTCTCTCTCTCTGTGACTATCATAAATAAATTAATTTTTTAAAAAAGGATTTTGTACCTAGAATATGTAAAGGACTACTACAACTTAATAATGATTTTTTAAAAATCATTCCAGGGCAGCCCAGGTGGCTCAGCAGTTTAGCGCCGCCTTCAGCCCAGGGCCTGATCCTGGAGGCAAGGGATCAAGGCCCAGGTCGGGCTCCCTGCATGGAGCCTGCTTCTCCTTCTGCCTGTGTCTCTGCCCCCCCTCCCCCCGTGTCTCTCATGAATAAATAAAATCTTTTTAAAAAATAAAATAAAAAAATAATAAACATCATTCCATTTAAAAGTGAGCAACGGATCTTAAGAGTTCTCCAAAGAAGATCTACAAATGATCAATAATCACATGAAAAGATACTCAACATGATTAGCCATCAAGGAAGTGCAAATCAAAACCATAATGAGATATGACTTCCTACCCGTGAAGATGGTTATAATCAAAAAGACAGAACATAACAAGTGTTGGTGAAGATGTAGAGAAATAGGGATTGTTATACACGGCTGGTGGGAATGTGAAATTTTATGGCCATTTTGGAAAAAATCTGGCAATCCTTCAACCGGTTAAATATATAGAGTCATCACGAGGCCTAGTAATTCCACTCCTATGTATTTACCCAAAAGTATAGTCCACACAAATGTTTATAGCTACTTACAATAACCAAAAAGTGGAAACAACTCAAATGTGGATCAACTGATGGATTTAAGAAAAGCCATATATCCATGTAATGAACAGTATTGGGCAATAAAAAAAAATGACATGCTGATACATGCTACAACATGGAAGAACCTCGAAAACACTGTGCTAAATGAGAGAAACCAAGCACAAAAGACCCCAGGTTGTATAATTTCACTAATATGAGTGTCCAGAATAAGCAAATATATAGACATAGAAAGTGGATGGGGTTCAGAGAGGCAGTGGAGTAATTGGAGGGAGCCAGCTAAGACGTACCGGATTTATTTTCGGAGTAATACAAATATTTTTAAATGTAGCAGTGGTTGCACTATACTAAAGCCATTGAATTGTGTACTTTCAGTGGATGAACTGCATGGTACATGGACTACATCTCAGTTTTAAAATAAAAAATTCTGGGGATCCCTGGGTGGCGCAGCGGTTTAGCGCCTGCCTTTGGCCCAGGGTGTGATCCTGGAGACCCGGGATCGAGTCCCACGTCGGGCTCCCGGTGCACAGAGCCTGCTTCTCCCTCTGCCTGTGTCTCTGCCTCTCTCTCTCTCTCTAACTGTGTGCCTATCATAAAAAAAAAAAAGAAAAAAAAAATTCTGGTAGCTCCACAACCTCATCAACCTTTTGTGCTGCCTGTCTTTAATTCCAGCCTGCTGACGGGTGTGTAGTTAGCTCCTGTGGGTTTAATTTGTATTTCCCAGGTGTCTAATGATGTTGAGCACTTGTTTGTATGCTTAGTACCTGCCTTGGCAAAGCGGCTATTCAATTATCTTGCCTATTTTAAATTCGGTTATCTTATTATTGTTCGATGCAGTCATCACCTAATGCCATTACAAATTCAGTAGCTTAAAACAAACATTTTCTGAGACTCAGGAATCAGGGAGAGGCCGAGTAGGGGTCCTGGCTGAGCCTCCCCCGAGGTCACAGTCATGGTGTTTGCCGGGGCCTAGTCATCCGACTGCTAGAGCAGGGCAGGAGGACCCCTTCCTTCCAGACTCACTCATGGGCTTGTTGGCAGGCTTTGGTTCCCGCCACGTGGTCCCCTCCATAAGGCTGCTCACGGTGTAGGGGCTCCATGTCTCCAGGGTCAATGATCCAAGAGAAAGAGCCACCAAGACATCTTTTTATAACCTAATCTTGGAAGTGACGAACCACCACTACACCCTTACTCTTTTTTTTTTTTTGTATTTTTTTTATTGGAGTTCCATTTGCCAACATATAGCATAACACCCAGTGCTCATCCCATCAAGTGCCCCCCTCAGTGCCCGTCACCCAGTCACCCCAACCCCCCACCCACCTTCCCTTCCACCACCCCTGTTCGTTTCCCAGAGTTAGGAGTCTCTCCTGGTTTGTCTCCATCTCTGATATTTCCCACTCATTTTCTCTTCTTTCCCTTTATTCCCTTTCATTATTTCTTATATTCTCCGATGAATGAGACCATATGTTTGTCCTTCTCCAACTGATTTACTTCACTCAGCATCATACCCTCCAGTTCTATCCATGTCGAAGCAAATGGTGGGTATTTGTCATTTCTAATGGCTGAGGAATATTCCATTGTATACATAGACCACAGCTTCTCTATCCATCATCTGTCGATGGACACTGAGGCTCCTCTCCCAGTGTGGCTATTGTGGACATTGCTGCTATAAACATCCGGGTGCAGGTGTTCCGGCGTTTCATTGCATCTGTATCTTTGGGGTAAATCCCCAGCAGTGCAATTGCTGGGTCATAGGGCAGGTCTATTTTCAACTCTTTGAGGAACCTCCACACAGTTTTCCAGAGTGACTGCACCAGTTCACATTCCAACCAACAGTGCAGAGGGCTCCCCTTTCTCCACATCCTCTCCGACATTTGTGGTTCCCCGTGTTGT